GAGGAAGAGGAGCGGATGGGGGCAGCCTCCACGCAGATTTCTCCTTGGGTCTGCTGCCATGGGGCTTGGGGGCATTTTTCTGAGTCCGATAGGGACAGTCTGCACCCTGGTACCCCCGGATGGCCACCGCATCCCACTCCCTGCTGCCTCTGGGTGTCCCCGGGTGCACGGGGGCACAGGGGGACCCCGGCCAAAGTGGGTCTTTAGGGGTGTCTTGGATCCGACACCCCCCCCCCCCCGCGCTGTGCACGGTAGGTCCCATCCCGTCCTGCCCTGTCCCAAGGGGAGCAGCCCAAATCGCCCCCGGGAGCCTGTTAGCAGAGAGGTGGCTCTCTCTGCCCTCCTGCGTGTGCTGGTGGCAACTGCCATCCTCCCCTCCCTCCCTGCTCAGCTCCGGGAGCACCCTGAGAGCTCCCGGCCGCGGCTGGAGCCTCCCGCGTGTGTGGAGACGCACACTCGCCGGATCCAGGCACCGGCAGGTTCGTTCCAGGAACCCCCACGGGCGCGGCGGCTCTGCCTGTCCTGCTCGCAGGGGACGTCGTCCTTTGATGAGCCGATAACGGAGCCTGCCCTGCGCCTTCCTACAGGTAGCCGGAAAGTTTTATTCGTCACCGGCTGCTGGAAAGGTCACGGCGTCCTCCTCCCCCTTCTATTTCTGGCCCGTGCCCTTTCGCCGGCGGAGCGGGGGAGCGCTCCCGTCCCTGGACCCCGGACACGCCGTCTCGGTGCGGCTCCGGTGCCTCGGCCCGGGGGGGTGGGAGGGCTGCGGGGGGATGCTCCGTGCCTGCCCGTACTCTGCCGATGCCGCCCGGGCTCGTTATGGACCAGAGAAGCTGCTGCGGGGCCGTGGGAGCCATCAGCTTCCCAGGGAAATAGGGGGAATTTGGGGACGCAGCGGAAATCTTGCTGCAAAACCCGCAGGAGATGGGTCTGGCCCCGGTTGTGACGGGCACAGGCGTGCTCCCGAGGTAACGGGGCTGAAGCAGTGCCCAGAGTGGGGTGCCAGGGATGCAGTGGGAAGCGTGGGTCTGGAGGAATCTCGGGAAGCGCTGAGCCCTCACCTGGGATCGGTCCCTCAGCACACACATCCCCGCAGGCAGCTGCCCGGTGCTCTCGGCATCCCTGCACAGGCAGGGCTGGATCCGGTGATGGGAGGGAGAGTCACAGGAGCCCTGGCACAACAGGGGCTGTGGGATGCTGCTCCGTCTTACTGGTGCCACCCAAAAATAAGGAGCAAAAAGGGAGCACTCCTCACAGACAACAGGAGAGGAAAAAAAGAATTCATCCTGAAAACTGCCCTTTGCCCAAACCGTGCAGATTTTTTGATCATTCTGGGAAATACCCAAACCTTCATCTGAGCTCCGTGGGGGCCAGGCAGGACCTGCCCAAGGATCCACCATCCTTACCAGCCGCCGTGGCCTGGGATCACCCTGGACCCAGCCTCACATGCATGGGTTGACTTGCAGCCATATGAGGAGCCCTGGAGACCCTTTGAACCCAGGGGGACACCCCCACTGCACATCATCCCAGCATATCCCGGGAGGGCTGTGAGCCCAGGAAGAGCTGCAGAGGAGCCCAGCTCCCCTTTCCAGCCTCCCCAGTTTGCCCATACGGTGTTGCACCATTAGACCCCTCGCTGTACAGAGCCTTTTTCTACTCTGGGCCAAATGAAGAGGGTTAAGAAAAGCCCCGGGGAGCTTTTTCATCCCCCTTTGTTCGTGGAGCAAAGATATTCCCAGCCTGAATCTATAGATTGGCCCTTAAACTACAAAAATCTCCGGGGACCAGAGAAACAAAAGTAGGTTTTGGTTGCGGTTTGTTGTGTTTTGCGGTTTTTTCAGTTTCTTTTCCTGCGCAGACAGCCTTTGCCCAGGAGGGGTTCGCATGAAAAATGCATGTGGGGACTGGGGAGCGGGGGGAGCGGGAGGAAGGAGCTATCGATCAAGTATCTCTGAAAGCCACACAGCTGTGCCAGCCCTGCTGCCTCTGCCAGCCCTGCCCGGCGCTCCCGGTGCCAGGCTCGGTGCCTGCCCCGGATTTGGGGTGGGGTGGCTGATGTTGTGCCCAGGAAATCACCCTGGATGCCGAAGAGGAGCCTGTGCCACAGAGTGATGTGATGCCTCTGCAATCCCTGCCCCGTCCATGACTCGCTCCATCCGGGCTTGCACTTGCTCCTTACGGCACACGAGAAATGGAGTCGGTCCCTTTTCTCCCCAGATCCAAAGGATGCTCCTCCCAAGCTCTGCAGGACCATAAGGAGGATCTATGGAACACCAACAGCTCTGCCCTCTCTGCCCATCAACCCACCCACCAGGCCCACACCTCTGATAAGAAATTATGATAATTGCAAACAACAACGATTCGAAGCCTGATGCAAACACAGACACAGCCCAAGTACCAGGATGGGCGACCAGGACCAAGGTGGGCAACCAAACACTAAAGTGAGCAAGCCAATCCACCTCCCAGACCAAAAAGAGCAAGTTGAGGCATTTCTAGGTCCAAAAAGACCTGGTGCTGGCAGGAGAGCAGGGACAGGGGTCCTGCTCTCAACTCTGGATCTGTGCTTGGTCTGGTCCCAGCAGGGCTGGTGGTCCCTTACAGGCAGTGTCCTCACTCTGTGTGGGGGCTGTAGGTGTCACCAAGAAACCCTGGAGCAGAATAAGGCACTGCAGGGGTAAAACTCTCTGCAGATGGTGCTCATTGAGGTGGGAACATCAAGGGATGGCGCTGGAGTGGATGCTTCATACTCTTGATGTCCCCCCCACCAAAACCAGCACTGCTGACTGAAATCAGCCCAGGGTCTGGGAGAACAGGAAGCGCTGATTTTAGGCTTCAGCTTGGCTGAAATTCAGCTTGCCCTGAAATTTGTCCCAGGTTCGAAATTCGGGAAGGATGGGAGAGGAGAAAACACTGACAAGAAAAGCAGGGGAAGACAGGGATAATCTGATCCCATAAGGGAGAAAAAATCTCTGACATCTTTACTTCTCCCTCTGGCTGGGCACTCATGTACAGCATTGGGGACCTCCTGCCTTACCAGTGACACTGGGATGGGGGCACCCAGAGGTACCCTTTTGGTCACTCCTTTGCCTGATTTGGCTGAGACTTGCTTGGTTCAAGTGCACGGGGGGAGCAGCTCAGTGCCCTGCTCACAAATGGGATTCTGGGGGCTTAGCACTACACAGGGGGCTCAAAAAAGCCAGAGAGGGCTTGCACTGTCCTCATTTCAGTGGCACAAATCTGAGAGCATTTGCCACCAGGAAGAGTTTTCAAAGGTCCATCAGCTGTCCCCTTCCTGGAACTGAGGGGGTGAGGTGTCCTCTCCTCTACTTCCTGTGCTCCAAGCCAAGGGCAGGGCACTTCCTGAGCCCCTGACAGCTCTTCGTGCTCTGCCTGATCCCGATGGTGCCATCAGATTTACCCTCCTTTCCCAGGAAAAACTCATGGCAGCAGAGAGAGAGTTTGGCCCAAATCACCGACTGCATGGCAGGACATCCAGCACAGACCCTCGACTCCCTGGGAACCAAACCCCAGCACGTCCCTGGCCCTGCGTGTCATGGGGGCATCAATCCCTGGGTCCACACACGATTGCCTTGAGGATGGGCAGCTCCAGCCGTGCCCGGAGCCTTGGTGCCCACAGACAGGCTGCGGGGTGCTTTTGGGGTGACCCCCATCCTGGTTCAGTGTGGAGGGGACACAGCTGTCCCCCTCCCACCAGTGTCACCCTGCAGAGCTGGCTCTGCTCGCGGAGGGGCCTCTGCCTTTATGCTGCGGGTTCTCTGAGTGCCCTCACCTAAACACAGCCTGGATTCCATCAGTGCTGGGCTCTGCCGCTCCCCTGGGCTGACCCCTCGTACGTGCGCGGGGGCACCGCGGCAAACGCTGCGCGGGCAGCACTGGGGAAGGGGAATGGCACGGGGGGAACCAGGGCACAGAGCAAGGCAACATCCTCAGCCTGGCCTCACACAGAGCGTTTTTTTCATCTGTGCTTTTACTGGGGGTGTATAAGCCAAAATGCCCCCAAACAATCCTTTGAATGATTTTTCCCTCTTTATCCCAATTACAGTCACAACAGCCCTTTCGCCTGGGACAGCCAGGTCTTGCCCAAGAATCTGGGAGTTCACGGAGATTCCCCAGCCCCAAACACGGCCAGGATTCTTCAATCCCCACATCTCCCTCAGGCACAGTCGGTACCCCAAAGCAAACAAACCCCACCCCTCTATAAACTCGGCGAGGCCCCGCGGAGCGCGGAGCGGTTGCTAGGATGGTTTTCCATTCAGCAGGACACAAAGTATCTCCAGCACAAAGCCTGATCCCCCTCCGTGGGGCCGGATATGTGGTACAGGGACACCGCAGCATTTGGGCTGTACAGACCCCTCATACCCCCACACACACAGACCCCTCACACTTTGCGTTTGCCACCCTGTTCCCTCCAGCCCACATCCCCCCTTCAGTCCCGACTGGGAACAGTTTTCCTTGCAAAGGGAATTCCAGCGCGGGAAGGTGAAGGCAGCCAGGAGAGCGCTGGAGGCAGCGAGAGGGATGTGCAAGAGTGTTTTTCAAAGTTGTCTGGTAATTCTTTTTGCTGCTTTATCAAAGGCAAAGGGGCCCCCGGCGCGGCCGGGCGGGATGGGACGGTGATGGGCGGGAGACGCCGGAGAGCAGCCGGGCAGGAGCCGTGATCTTCCCGCAGCCCAGGCAAACCTCGACAGCAGTTAACGAGAGTAAAGGAACGCCGGTTGGCCCGGGATGCTCTCCCACTCAAGGCATCGGTGTTTGCAGGGACAGGGGCTGAGTCTGGGATCTGCCAGGTTCTATCTCCCACTCTCCCCACCACCGTCCTGAACTCCGCTGGCACCAAAAAGGCTTAAAAAATCCCCACTAATAACAGCAGTAACTGCCCCATCCCTCCTGCCAGCACAGCAGCTGGGCACAGAGCAGGTCCCTCGCACCTTCCCCCTACGTGGGACACCCTCCTGGAGCAGGGGACGAGGAGGACTTACCTGCACACAGGATTCCTCTTCCCTAGCTGCGGCTCCGCTCTGCCTGATGTTCTCTCTGTGGAAGTGGGAAGCGTTTTAGATCATGCAGTAGGTTATATATTGTCTGCAAGTCTGGCCCTAGGGCGTCCATCAGTTGGTCTTGGTTTGCTCCTGCCCCTATATGGAAGATGCATCACATGCTCCGCAGCTCCCAGCTATCAGCCTGGCAAAAGAGGAAAAGGAGAAGGAGAGGAGAAAGGGGGAAGAAAAAAAAATTAAAAGGATCTTCATCACCATGAAAGAGGCAGAGAGAATTTCTCAGTGGAAAACCCACCAGCCAGAAATCCCTGCCTGACTTGAACTTTCCCCGTTCTCCTTTTGTTATCCCCAGCTCCCAGTGCCCCCTTTCATCTGCTCTTCAAGGCTGGTGAGACGTGAAGGCATTTTCACCTTGATCCCGCTCCTGCTTCACCTCCAGCAGGTGAGGGGCTGAGGCTTCACTGCCAAATGCCTCTGTCCATCTGCAGCTCTCCAGCACAAATTATTTACCCCTCCCCAGTAATGCCCCCGGTGCTGCCAGGCAGGGCAGGGATGGGGCACTCCCGGGGCTGTCCAACCATCCTCCCCCAAACACACCCAGAGAGCAGGTCCTGGGGCACCAGGGCCACCACACATGTGCAAAGCTGCTGAGATGGCACATCCTGGAGTGGGGGGCTAGCCAGGAAAAGCTCCACGTTCTGCTTGGGGCTGTCCCCTTCACCCATCCAAGGGAAAGGGGATGGTGGGGAGCTGCCAGCACAGGGCCAGGCATGTGTGAGTGTCCTGGCCACCACCACGGTGGGGGCAGCAAGGACAGGCAGGAGGCTGCTGAACCTACTCTCCTGCCATATGTCCTGATGTTTGGAGGACATTGTCCAGCAGAAGCTGGAGTTTCCTCCCTTTTCCCCATCTCATCCTCCCCACGAGCCAGGGTGCACAGCCAGTTGTGCAGAGCAGGGGCTGCAGAAATCCCTGTTTCACGACCTTCTCCACCAGATTTTACCTGGCACCAGGCTCGTCAGCCCTTGGTGCCACTGCCACCATCCCACCAGCTCCCCACGGCAAAGTGTTGGTCCTGCTTCTCCACTCACTTCCTATCTCTTGGCTGGGAGCCAAGAAGGACAAGTCATTCTTCTGTTTTGGGTGGGGTATTCCTGGCTGGAGCTCCTCTGGGAAAGCCTTGGCTTCCCTGCCAAGCAAGCCTGCCCTCAGAAAGGGGGCACAAGGTAATGACATCCCTCCCAGAGCCTGATATCTTCTACTGGATTTGGTCACATGCAGCACAGATGGGCTGTTTTTCTGTCCATAATGATGGGTTCCTGCTTTTGTTATGAAGATTGTGCTGCTCTTTTTCAACTGTTTTTATTTGTATTTTGTTTAAGTTCAAAATCTAAGAATTTTTTAATAAAAAATTTTGTTTGTTCCCTTCCCAAACAACCCAACCCTGGCTGGACTGACAATGTGCTCCCAAGGTCTCAGACCCTTCCTGCAAACCTGCGTCTTCTTCTGACCTGCATTTCTACCTCCCTCAAAAATATTTGGGAAAAAAATAGCCTTGGGCTACACCACTTAATAGAAACAATTCTGGAACCTTGGGTACATTCACAGCTGAACATGGGTGAGGGATCCCCCATCTCCAGCTGACACAAAGAGGGAGTATTTGACTTTGAGGTGGCATCTGGCAGGACCACCTAAATACATGACTCATGGAGCTGAGCCCCATGGGGTTGTGAGCAAAGATTTCCTTGTAACACCTTGGGAGCTGAAGGGCCAAGGGTCAGACTGGTGATGTGTCTGCACTGAAGGGTCTCTCCAGGTAGAGGCATCTAGAACCACAGAGTCATAGAATCATGGAATATCCTGAGCTGGAGGCACCCACAAGGACCATCCAGTCCAACTCCTGGCCCTGCACAGACACCCCAACAATCCCAACAATGTCCCTGAGAGTATCATCCAAACACTCTTTGAACTCTGTAAGCCTTGGGGCCGTGACCACTGCCCTGGGGAGCCTGGGCAGTGCCCAACCACCCTCTGGGGGAAGAACCTTTTCCTGAGATCCAACCTGACCCTGCCATGACACAGCTCCAGCCATTCCCTGAGGTCCTGTCCCTGCTCACACAGAGCAGAGATTGGAGCTGCCCCTCCACTGTTCCTAGTGAGGAAGCTGCAAACCCCGATGAGGTCTGACCTCAGTCGCCTCTTTTCTAGGCTGAAGAAGCCAAGTGACCTCAGCTGCTCCTCCTACAGCTCTATTCCCCTCTAGAACCTTCACCATTCTTGTGTCCCTCCTTTGGGCACTCTCTAATAGCTTTAGATCTCCTTTATATTGTGGCACCCAAAGCTGCCCCCAGGGCTTTGGGATTGTGTCTCCTGCCTTTGGTTCACCAGACCTGGGCTGAATTGAGACCTCCTACCCTGGAGCTCACACATCCATCCTGCTAAAGCTCAGCCTCACCAGTCCTCATCACTCTGAGGATCTCAGAAGGAAGGTCCTGGAAAGGCCAGTACCTGCTCTGACCATGCTTTGTCCAGATGGACCAGGATTTCCCCAGAGTGCCACATTCTCACAACATAATTGCTTCTGATGTCCCTGAGTGTTCTGGAGCCTTGTGATGCTGCTGTAGAGGGGCCCATGGCAACGCCAGAATGCCTGGTGTTCCCAAGCTCAGTTCAAATAGCTGTATCAGAGCAAAGGCTGTGACCCTGGACATCTCCAGGGACAAGCTGCTGTGTGTCCAACCAGAACCTCCTGAGACTTTGCAAGAGCTCATCGTTCCTTCTCTGCAGCTGAGGAGCACAGTGCCCTCACGGGACCCTTTCTCACAGCCACTGCTGGGACCTTCTGACCTGGGCAGTCCCACCTTCTGGGGTCAGACAGCCCTGCTCAGAGATGGCCTGATGGAATAGTACAGGTGCCAGTGACAGAGCAGGTCTTTCTTTTCCTTTCTGGGGTGCTCTCATCGAAAGGAAATGGCACTGCTCCTTTCTCTTGAGTTTCAACTGCACTTTGGTCCATCTCAGCCTCCTCTTATGGTTTTCAGTGACTTTCAGCAATCTTGAACTTGCAGTTCTGATGGTGGACTTTCCTGCTGGATCCATACTTATCTTAATATTTGCCACACGGGGAGGTCCCTTCCCAGCTTTGGCGCTGGGGAGGTGCCCCATCTCCCCTGCCAGGACCCCCATCCCACCTGAATACCTTCCTCTCATGTTGATGCTGCCTTGGCATGGCCTCCCACCAGGCTGGAGGTGTCCTTGCCAGGATAACAGAGCTGGATTCAGCCAGGAAGCTCAAAGGCAACACACTTGCAGCTCAGACTCTGGTGGGAGACGCTGTTCTTGCCGCTGAAGGACCCAGGAAAGCAGAGTCCTGGCACAAGCCACACCTTCTCCATGTCCTGCTGAGCAGGCTCCTGCTCAACAGACTCAGCCTGCTCTCAGGGGTTGGGAACAGGAGTCAAGGGGTCAAAGCAACCAGGAGAACTGATGTCCTTGCATTCTGTAAATCTTCCTGTGTATTTAAATGGCTCATAAAGACTTTGGAAGGGGATGGATGAACAGACCTCACCCAGGCACTGTGGGGGTGGGAACTCCACCAGGAGTTACTGGATACAGAGAAATCCCACCTGGTTCCTGCAGTCCCTCAGCTATGACTGGTTGAAAGCTTGGAGAGTATCCAAGAGGAGTCTCATGTAAGTTTGTTCTGCCTGTGTCCTCTCCCCTGGTTTTCCACTGTTGAGCACCACCCAGAGACCTTTCTAGAAGGACTTTTTTCATGACCCTGTGCCACCAGGTTCTTGTGTCCCATGGGGCAGGACTCAGACATGAAGAAGTTGGGGAAATCTCAGGCCAGTTCCAGAGGGACCCAGATGATATTCTCTAGATCTAGTTCAAACTTTTCCCTTTTGGGAAGACCTATTCTGTTGACAACAGTTTTCCTCAAGTCAGATGGAGAAATAAGAGCTGTGCATATATGTTTTCTGAAAGGAAATTTTTTTCCCTGAAGACCAAAGGAAGGATCAGTTCCCATTCTCATGGTGTCTGGCATCTGGAGGATTTTGTTCTTCTATCCAGAGCTAAATACTGTTTCCTCTGTTTTGCTTTTTCTGTCCACCTGAAAGTCCCACCAAAAGGTTTTGTTGAAGGTCTCAGAGCTGAATACTCAGGTGTCGACATGTCAGTACCTAGGACAGGTGTGGGTGGTTAGGACCTGAAACTATGAGCCTGAGTCCAGCTAAGGACGGAGAGCTTTGTTCTCCGAGGAGCCAGCCTTGCCTAAGTCAGCCTTACCTCTGCAAGTGGCCTCAAGCTGGTGAGAGGAACCTCCCTAGGAGCTGTTAGGACATCCTGCCCCACTGCCCTGTGAGGTCTGGGCTGGGAGGGTGGGGGGAAATCCCTGCCAAGGTTTCCATATTGCTGTGTGGGCCATAGGTGGTGGTGACCAGCATAAGTGATGGAGGCCACCACCAGTGATGGAGGAGACAGAGAGGCCTGAAGGGGCTGTGGCTGCAAAAGTTGATCAGCTTTTGCTGTGACAGAGGAACTCAAGAGGCTGGAGGCAGCTGCTCTGACAGAATGAAACTGAAGCCCATATCCCTCCCTCCTGCAATTAAAAAAGGCGGAAAAGGGGAAAAGAGCAGCTTTGCTGGTGACCTTTCCCTCTTGCAAATCTCCACCCGCCTCACTTCATACACCAGCATCAGGAGCAAACAGCCGGGCTGGGACCTGGCAGACCAGTAGTGGCACAGAACTACCCAAGGAGGTTGGCCGTGCCTGTGTGTGTGTGCACACCACAGTGGCTGCTTTCTTCCAGCCTGCAGGCTGCTCCGGGGAGGGGGAGCGGGAAGGGTTCGCTTGCCAGCTCCTCCTGAGGTCCACTGAGAGGTGTCTGTAGGGCTCATCTCGAAGAATGTCAGAGTGCATGTGCTCCGCGAGACGGCCTTTCAGAAGGCATCAGTCCTGCTGTCACGCAGTGGACCACAAATCGGGAGTGACAGCTGTCTCCGTGTGCACCATCCATCTGTGGCAAATGTGTCAGCTAGCTGAACACTCCCGAGGAAACTGCTACGGAGCCGGGAGAGGAGGAGGAGGAGGAGGAGGAGAGAGAAAGGGGGAGTGAGAGCGACAGAGAGGGGGGAAAAAGCAGCAGCAACAGGGGTGAGGACCAGCAACACGTTACCCCAGCAAAGCCAAGGGTCCTAAATGGTCTTGGAAGAGAGAGCAAAGGCTGTTGTGTGGTTGTGCCTCCACTGCTCCATGGAGGTGCCCACTAAACAACAGGCCTTTGCCCTCCCAACCCAAGAACCTCAAAGCTCTCCATAACCATCAATGATGCCATAAAGGTGGTGTTACGGGTAACGGCACCACGGTGGTGAGGGAAGCACAGATGGGCTTGTCCAAGACCACAGCTGGAGGTGCAGCAGGCCTGGGAAGGGGATGCAGCAGAGCCAACACCCCCTCGGCTGCTCAGGGCCACTGAGGACGTGGTGGGACAGTGTAGCAGTTCCCTTTTCTCCTCTGATGGATATCATCTCCCCCGTTCTCCTCTCCCCTCTTTTCCATTCTGTCACACTGAATTCCTCATCCTGGGTGAATTTGGTGCCATTGGAACTGCTGTTGTTTTACCTGCTTCTGAAGCAAGTACCACATGGTTACCAGAGAGAAGTCACCGCTTCCCTTGACTTTCTCCACTCCCCATTCAATTGTGCTTGAAGAAGTGATTTCTTGGGCTGGAAGAAACTCAGTACTTACAGACACTCTCTCCTCTTTTAGATGATAACAAGAAAGTCCAGTCACCTCACCTGACCTGTGTTTTGGTGCTTTTTTAGTAATACCTGTTGAGATCCTCTACCACAAATTTACCATGGGCAGGAAACAACCTTGGGGTTGTTGTACCAGCTTTGAGGGGCTACCTACCAAATTATGCATGAACTGGAGCTTTTCCAATGGAAATCTGATTGGAGATGTATTCCCATAAACCAAGGAACTGGAAGCTCCAGGCCACTAGCCAGAAATACCCCAAGAGAGACATCTCATCACCAGCTCAACCTTGAGAATCAACAACCTGAGTCTTTCAGCAGTTGGAAGTTCAGCCTTCATTTTTTGGGCAAAAACAGTGTGCAGGCACCTTCAGGGCATTTTGGAAGGGGGAGGGACTTACTTTGTTCCAGTGGAGGTTGGAGGACAGAATTAGAAGAAGGTGCATAGGAGATCAGGCTAGGGGTCTCTACATTATGGTCTCAGCTCTGGACTCCAAATTCCAGTTGACAATGGTAATTGGGTTGATTCTGGTCATGGATGGAATCACAGGAACAATTTAATTTCCAGCCTTAACTTTTCTAGCAGCCCACACACACACGCTGCAGGGAGGAAACTAGGCCAACCCCAGTGTATGGGTTGTGTAATGATAAAAATACCCGTTTCCCACCCCTGGTCCAAAACTTGGGCTGGACATCTTAAACCTGGGGGCATTTCCTGGCTCTTAGTGTTGTCACGACTGTGAAGCACTTTATCCAATGCTCCATTCTATCCCATCCCATCCCACCCATATCGAATGGAATGGGGTGGGATGGGATGGGATAGAATAGAACAGTTCAGTTGGAAGAGACCAACAACAACCATCTAGTCCAACTGCAGTCCTTTCAAACATTTAACATCTGGAGCTGGGAATTGCAGCCAGACAAAGCTCTGTTTTCCTCTGAATTCACTGGAGTTTCCGGGAAAACTTTCCAACAAAGGAGGCATGAAATCCCTGGTACCAGTTAGGAGAAGCTGGACACTGCCCTCCCCACTACAGTGCTGCTGAGGAAGCTCCCAAAGCACAGGCAATGTCATTTCCCCCTTGGCAGCCCCGTGCAGGGCTGGGGATGCTCGTGGGAGTGGAGCCAGTGGGGCAGCCAGGAGAGCATCCCACCAGCTGAGAAAAGGGAGTGTGGGGATGAGGATCAGTGATCCTAGCCATTTATCACAGTCACAGGAGATGCTAAAAACTCAATGCAAGCAGAGCTAATTACAGTTTAAATCCCAGGATAAGCAACACATCACTCCTCCCATTGGGTTGGAACCAATCCTTCTAGCAGTCCTTACTTACTGAGCACCAAACCTGTAGCTTATAACCTGGTCTGGGAGACAAGAACCTGATGACCAGCAAAGCCAGTGAAAGCTGTTTTCATAGGGAAAACGTGGAAAAGACATACAGGTAATTCCCAGATGGTTTCCAACACTCGGTGTGGTTGGAGGGAGAGTTGCACATCAAGATAAATCAGAAAGTTCAGTGACTGAGATGCCAAGAGCCACGTTGGTCTGGCAGAGGTGAGTCCCCATTTATGGATGTGGGGACAAAAGCATTGAAAAAATGAAACAATTTATAGAAGGGTTAATTCCATATTTCCTAGCCAGCTAAGGACAGTTGGGAATCAGGGTGGGTGAGTTAAAACAAGTTATGGAATAAAAATTATCCCCAGAAATGTGGGAAGGTGAGAGCAGAAGCAAATATAATACCAGCATAAGCTGTCATGGGCAATAGAGAATCACAAATCAGGCTCTAAACAAGTGACTTCCTCCACATCATTAAAATTGCAGCTTCTC